TGAGGCTGGCCTGAACTAAATAGAGAAGCCTTGTTGAGCAAGTGAAAAAAGCAAATAATGAGAGGTAGAGTGAGCTTGAGAGGTATTCTTGATTTGGGAGGACAGGTTAACTGGAAGGAGACTACACAACACTAGCAGTTTAATCCTGTAGGAAAGAAAACAGCAAACCAAGACTGAAATTTAAATAAAAAGTCTAAGAGATAGTCAAGTGGTGGAGGGCAGTGGGGAACACACGCCTTTTAATCTCAGCAGTGGGGAGGAGCCAGGTGAATTTCTTACATTCAGAGAAACCTTGTCTTGAAAGGGGAAAAAAAAGACCAAGACCTGAAGAGAGTTCCACTTTCGGCAGTTCACAACCACCTGTAAAAATGAAGCTCTATGGGACCCAATCCCTCTTCTGTCCTCAATAAGCACATGTACATACACACAAATAAAAATTCAAACTACAACTGCAACTGCTCTTTCCCAATTAATCTCAATTCTCTCCCTTACAAAACCACCGGAGAAGTTTTTTTCAAGATTACATAAACGTTAGGAGAACATGGTAGCAAAACTTAGTCTGGGCTTTAATGAGAACACAATCTCTTTCTAGCTAAGATTCTCCTACCAGGAAAAGAACCAAGATGAGAAGGAAAAAAAGAAAATGAAAAAAAGAATCAGACAAACAAGGCATATTTTCATTTAAAAAAAAAAAGTCCTTTTTTGCCTAAAGCTGTTTGATTATGCTTATAGTTATACACATAAAAAATAGAAAATAAATCATTATTACAATGCACAGCTGAACACAGACATATTTCAAACAAGATGTATGTAATGATATAAGAAATGATAAATATGATGTTAAGCTTCGATAAGTAAATAGGACTTCTTATGTATTACTTCTGTGAAGAGATTTTTCTTTGGAAATAGGAAGCTTGTACAACCACTGTGGAAATCAGTATGGTGGTTTCTCAGAAATTTAGGAATCGAACTACCTCAAGACCCAGCCATCCCACTCTTGGACATATACCCAAGGAATGCTGATTCATACCATCAAGATACATGCTCATCTATGTTCATAGCAGTACTATTTGTAATAGCCAGAACCTGGAAACAACCTGGATGCCTGTCAACGGAAGAATGGATGAAAAAAATGTGGTACATATACACAATGGAGTACTACTCAGCAGAGAAAAACAATGAAACCATGAAATTTGCAGGCAAATGGGTTGAACTAGAAAAAAATCATCCTGAGTGAGGTAACCCAAACTCAGAAAGACAGTCATGGTATGTACTCACTCATAAGTGGATTCTAGATATAAAATAAAGATCAGACCACAACCCATACAACCATGGAGGCTATATATATAGCATGGAGGTCCCTAGGACGACTGTGGCTTATAATAAATTTCGGTTTTACTCAATTACTGAAAAAAAAAAAATACCCAAACGAATGGAAACACATGAACTATGAACCAAAGGCTGAGGGGCCCCCAGCTGGATCAGGCCCTCTGAATAGGTGAGACAGTTGATT